GAGGTGGTCGATTTCACACTGACACCTGCAAGCAGGATAAAACATTAGCCATGACAAACTACGTAAGTAAGACACACGAATGGGCAACACAAACGGGTCAGAACGACAGCAATGCTGTCAGCGCACCATAGGCAACTACTCACCTGCAGTCACAATTAAGCGACATTAGAAACTTAGTTACCGGTTACGTCAACTTCTCCGGGTCCACTCAGCGATTTCACGTTCTCTTGAACTCTCTCTTCAAAGTTTTTGCAACTTTCCTTCACAGTACTTGTTTGCTATCGAATTCGCGTCTATATTAGCCTTAGATGAAGTTTATCACCACTTTAGGCTGCACTTTCAAGCAACCGACTCTTAGATATAATCGTACAGCTTGCTCACTGTTCGCACAGGTCTCGCACCCTCTCAGGATTGTGGCCCTATCAAAGGGACTTTGGACATGTAGCACAAACTGAAAATTATATCTATACGTACATTTTTAACAGTGTAACACTGTAAGATTCAGCGCTGGGCTTCTCCGTTCACTCGCCGTTACTAAGGGATCCTTGTTAGTTTTTTCTCCGCTAAATGATATGCTTAAGTTCAGCGGGTAATCACGCCTGAGTTCAGGTTGAATATATAATGATACATGAATATACAATACATGACATGTCCCTATTTGAATCAATCTCTATTCATGAGTACATTCAATATTGGTAATATATTCAGTATCATTCAGTAACGTTAACAATGTTAACGTCATGTTGCATTTCATATTCTTGAACTGGAATGGGATTATCACAATAAAGTATAAATACCTTTCGACAAACAGTGTTATGAACTAGCACAATGTAAGTGTTCATTAACAACCCTGAACAGACGTGCCGAAGGAAACCAACGCGCTATGCGTTCAAAATTTTACCACTCTAAGCGTCTGCAATTCGTGGTAAAATAACGCAGCTAGCTGCGTTTTTATCGATACGCGAATCGACGATCCATCGCTGAAGCTAGTCAATTGTGAACATTTCTGTGTACACATTTCTGCAAACTTTAAACATAAAAGTTGTGTTTTATAATGGCTCTAGGCGAGATCATTAAGGTTTTCCTGACAAGCCAGGTACCGTACATACTACACGTATGTACATAACCACCTTATAAATTTTATGTGGGTCTAGGCGGATCATTAATCTCTCTCTTTTCTTCTGTTCGAATTATGAATGTTATTTATCTTATTTACGGTATTTTCGAAAAACACAAAAACAACTAAAACTCAAACAAAAAACTTGTTGAGAGAGATTAGTGATCTCGCCTAGACGCCACTATAAATTTATAATGGTGGTTATGTACATACGTGTAGTATGTACGGTACCTGGCTGTCAGGAAACCTTAATGATCTCGCTAGACGCCATTATAAACACAATTTTTATGTTTAAAGTTTGCAGAAATGTGTACACAGAATGTGTCACAATTGACTAGCTTCAGCGATGGATCGGTCGATTCGCGTATCGATGAAAACGCAGCTAGCTGCGTTATTTACACGAATTGCAGACGCTTAGAGTGGAAATTTTGAACGCATAGCGCCGTTGGGTTTTCCCTTCGGCACGTCTGGTTCAGGGTTGTTAATGAAATACTACAGTGTGGCTAGTTCTATACACTGTTTGTCGAATGGTATTTATTACTTTTATTGTGATAATTCCATTCCAGTTCAAGAATATGAAATGCAACATGACGTTAAATTGTTAACGTTACTGAATGATACTGAATATATTACACTATTTGAATGTACTCAATGAATATGAGATTGATTAAATAGGACATGTATGGTATTATATATTCAATGTATCATTTATATATTGCAACCTGAACTCAGGCGTGATTACCGCTGAATTAAGCATATCATTTAGCGGAGGAAAAGAAACTAACAAGGATTCCCTTAGTAACGGCGAGTGAACGGGGAGAGCCAGCGCTGATTTACAGTGTTACACTGTTAAGAAATGTAGCGTATAGATATATTTTCAGTTTGTGCTACATGTCCAAGTCCTTTGATAGGGGCCACAATCCTGAGAGGGTGCGGACCTGTGGGGACAGTGGAGCAAGCTGTACGATTATATCTTAGAGTCGGGTTGCTTGAAAGTGCAGCCTAAAGTGGGTGATAAACTTCATCTAAGGCTAAATATAGACGCGAATTCGATAGCAAACAAGTACTGTGAAGGAAAGTTGCAAAGAACTTTGAAGAGAGAGTTCAAGAGAACGTGAAATCGCTGGAGTGGAACGGAGAGAGTTGACGTAACGGGTAACTAATGTTTCCTAATGTCGCTTAATTGTGACTGCAGGTGATGTATGTTGCTATGGTTGCGCTGACAGCAATTGGCTGTGCGTTCTGACCGTTTGTGTTGCCCTTCGGTGGTGTCTTACTTACGGTTAAGTTTGTCATGGCTAATGTTTTATCCTGCTTGCAGGGTGTCAGTGTGAAAGTCGACACCTCTCCGACCGTCTTGAAACACGGACGAGGAGTGTAACTTGTACGCGAGTCAAAGGGTGGTTAAACCCTAAGGCGTAATGAAAGTAAAGGTCGGTTAACCGGCTGACATTGGATTACTTTTCGAAGTAGCGCACCATGGCCCTGTCTTGTCTGCATGCAGATGGGCAGCGGTAGAGCGTACAGGTTGCGACCCGAAAGATGGTGAACTATGCCTGAGCAGGACGAAGTCAGAGGAAACTCTGATGGAAGTCCGTATCGGTTCTGACGTGCAAATCGATCGATAGACTTGGGTATAGGGCGAAAGACTAATCGAACCATCTAGTAGCTGGTCTCCGAAGTTTCCCCAGGATAGCTGGAGTTCATCGCGGTTATATCGGTAAAGCGAATGATTAGAGGACTTGGGGTCGAAACGACCTCAACCTATTCTCAAACTTTCAATGGGGTATGTTGTCTCGGTTTCTTTATTGAACTGTGTGACACGAACGCGAGCTCCAAGTGGGCCATTTTTGGTAAGCAGAACTGGCGCTGTGGGATGAACCAAACGTTGGGTTAAGGTGCCTAACTTCTCGCTCATGAGACCCATAAAAGGCGTTGGTTGATATAGACAGCAGGACGGTGGCATGGAAGTCGGTACCGCCTAAGGATGGTGTAACAACTCACCTGCCGAATCAACTAGCCCTGAAAATGGATGGCGCTTGAGCGAGAGACCTATACCACCGTTGCTGGCTTGTGCGTTGTCTATCGCCTGCCGCAACGAGTAGGAGGGACGTGGCGGTTGCGTCGAAGGCTTTGGGCGTGAGCCAGCTGGAGCTTCCGTCAGTGCAGATCTCGGTGTAGTAGCAAATATTTAAGTTCGATCCTTGAAGACTGAAGTGGAGAAGGGTTCACGTGAACAGTAGTTGAATGTGGGTCAGTCGATCCTAAGATACTGGCTTATGCCTTGTATCATTGAGAGGGAAAGTTTCTTTTCTCTCGGATATCAAAGGGAATAGGGTTAATATTCCCTAACGCGAGACACAGAGATTGTGACTCATTGAGTCACTTGGCGCGTAACGCATTCGAACTTGGTTACGTCGCTCAGAGACCGAGCTAGAGTTCTCTTCTCTAGTTAAGGAACGGACTCCGTGAATCGGTTCAGCCGTAGATAGGGACGTTTGTCCGTAAAGCATCGCGGTTTCTGTGATGTCTCGTGTTCTCTGGACGGCCTTGAAAAACCAAGGAAGGCTATTAATCTGTGCTGCATCGTACCGATATCCGCATCAGGTCTCCAAGGTGAACAGCCTCTAGTCGATAGAATAATGTAGGTAAGGGAAGTCGGCAAATTAGATCCGTAACTTCGGGAAAAGGATTGGCTCCAGTGACTGGGTCGGTTTGCCTGTTAACTGATGCTTGTGCGGTTTCGTCCGTGGCTGGCTGATGCTTACGCTGATGCTGGACAGTGACAAGACTGCCTTGTGGACGTTTTCAGGTGTGTGCTTTGTCTTCGGGCTTAGTATCCTGACCGACCATCAAAACAGTCGAACTGGAACTGGTACGGACTCGGGGAATCGACTGTTCTACCGAGTTGTGGTAGGTGAACCTGTAGCGAAGATTTACAGGAACCTTTAAAGACCCAAAGAGGGCGCCAGCGGTAACGACAGTCTCCGATGTCCTAATACGGATCTTTGTCGGGTCTGCACCTCCTCGAGGTGCTTCCGGGAACGTCTATACTATATCGGCACTCCGCCGCGTATGAGTGACAGGTCGCATATTGTCCGGCAAGCGTACTTCGCACGCGATAGTCGGGGGCAGAACGGGGGATCGTTCTCGTTTGGCTGGTTCGACGTTGAATGGTCACAGTACGCCATGGAGGCTGGCGTGAACACCTAGTACAGCGCAGTTAATTAGCATCACTCTGGATGTCTTCAAGGGCTCTTTTTCATCGGGTCCTCTGAAGGTCTGCGTCCAAGGTCTGGGTCAAATGTATACGTGCAGATCTAAGCAGCCTACGATCAAAGTGACGGATTAAGAGCAAGCGAAACAAAATGTGGGAAAGAGCCATGTGATGCGGGCGCTCCTGTAAGAGGCTCAAGAGCCATTGTGTGACGCATGCCCTGTAAGAGGCAAAAATGAGAGGGGGGCTGTAAGGCGACAGCTCTCATTTTAATTCAATGCGCTGAAGGGTAATATAAGATCGAGTCGGATCGATGACTAATTGGCGGCCAATGGAGGATACCATGCTTTAGAGGGCCGGCTCATGGGTGGGCAGAGGAGGGTCGTCAGTTAACACCTGACGAGCATGAATGATTACGAGATTCCACCCTGTCTAAGACTATCTTAAGACGCAAACTTCTCTTCTCACCGAATAAGTAAAGAATCGATGAAAGTGGTGGTATTTCATTGGCGACCGAAGTCTCCCACCTATGCTACACCTCTCATGACTCTTCACAATGTCAAACTAGAGTCAAGCTCAACAGGGTCTTCTTTCCCCGCTATTTTTACCAAGCCCGTTCCCTTGGCTGTGGTTTCGCTAGATAGTAGTTAGGGACAGTGGGAATCTCGTTAATCCATTCATGCGCGTCAGGTGTTACTGACGACCCTCCTCTGCCCACCCACTTGAGCCGTTCCCTCTAGCATGGGATCCTCCATGGCCGCAATTAGTCATGGATCCGACTCTATCTATATTACGCCTTCAGCGCATGAATGAAAATGAGAGCTGTCGCTTACAGCCGCTCTCATTTCTGCCTCTTACAGGTGCAGCGTCACACATGGGCTTCTTTGAGCCTCTTACAGGAGCGTCCGCACACATGGGCTTTTTCCCACATTTTGTTTCGCTGCTCTTAGCCGTCACTTTGATCGTAGGCTGCTAGGATCTGCACGTAGTACATTTGACCAGACTTGGACGCAGACCTTCAGAGGACCCTATGAAAAAGAGCCCTTGAAGTACATCCAGAGTGATGCTAAGTTAACTGCGCTGTACTAGGTGTTCACCCAGCCTCCCATTGCGTACTGTGACCAGTTCACGTCGAACCAGCCAACGAGAACGATCCCCGTTCATGCCCCCGGACTATCGCGTGCGAAGACGCTTTGCCGGGACATATGGCGACCTGTCACTCATACGCGGCGGGAGTGCCGATGTTAGTAGGTAGTGACGTTGCCCGGGAAGCACCTCGAGGAGGTGGCAGCCCGACAAAGATCCGTATTAGGACATCGGAGACTGTCCGTTACCGCTGGCGCCCTCTTTGGGGTCTTTAAAGGTTCCTGTAATCTTCGCTACAGGGTTCACCTACCAAACTCGGTAGAGACAGTCGGATTCCCCGAGTCCGTACCAGTTCCAGTTCGACTGTTTTGATGGTCGGTCAGGATACTAAGCCCGAAGACAAAGCACACACCTGAAAACGTCCACAAGGCAGTCTTGTCACTAGTCCAGCATCAGCGTAAGCATCAGCCAGCCACGGACGAAACGCGCCAAGTCAGTTAGGCCACGACAGTCATGGAGCCATCCTTTTCGAAGTTAGGATCTAAAATTGCGACTTCCGTTACCTAAATTAGTTTCGATCGACTAGAGGCTTCGTTCCATTGGCAGCGTGCGGTATCGTACGATGAGCACGGTTATTGCCTTCTTTGTGTTCAAGGCGTCCAGAGAACACGAGACCTCACAGAAACGCATGCTTTACGGAAACAAACGGTCCCTTCTACGGCTGAACGATTCCAGGAGTCCGTTCTATAGAGAGAGAACTCTTAGTCGTCTTGAGGACGTACCAAGTTCGAATGCGTTAGCGCGCAAGTGAATCCAATGGGTCACATCTCCCCTGTGTCTGCGTTAGGGATATTAACCTTTGTTTGACTTTGATTCCGAGAGAAAGTACTTTCGCTCTCATGATCAAGGATAGCCAGTATCTTAGGATCGTGCGCCCCCATTACTATGTTTAGTGGAACTTCTCCACTTCAGTTCCTTCCCAGATGAACTTAAATTTTGCTATCACCGAGGAGTTCTGCATGCGAAGCTCCGCGGGCTCCGCCAAGTTCCGACGCACCGCCACGTCCTTATCGTTGCGGCACAGCGCGTAGACCGCACAGCCGCAACCGGCTGGTATAGGTCTCTCCGCTTCAGCGCATCCCATTTTCAGGAGGTAGTTGTTCGGCAGGTGAGTTGTTACACCTCCTTGCGCAGGTTACGACTCAGGGCCACGTTCCTGCTGTCTATATCAACAAAGCCTTTTGACGGTTTCTGAGCGAGAATTAGGCACCTTAACCAAGGTTGGTTATCCCACAGCGCAGTTTTTCTGCTTTACCAAAATGGGCCATTGGAGTCGCGTTCGTGTCAACGTTCATAAGAAACCGAGAAAACATACCATTGAAGTTTGAGATAGGTTGAGGTCGTTTCCGACCAAGTCGCTAATCATTTCGCTTTACCGGAAGATAACCGCGGACTATGCAACTCAGCTATCCTGGAAGTGGAAATCGAGGGACAGCATAGTGGTTCGTTGTCTTTCGCCATACCCAAGTCTATCGTCGATTTGCAGTCCAGAACCCGATACGGCTTCTCCAGGTTTCCCTCTACTTGTCCTGCTCAGGATAGGTTGCATTTCGTTTCGGGTCGAACCTGTACGCTCTACGCTGCTCATTGCATTGCAGACCAATGACAGGGCCATGGTGCGCGGACTTCGGAAAGTAGATCCCTGTAGCCCGGTTAACCGGACCTTTACTTTCATTACGCGTAGGGTTTAACACCTTTGACTCGGTACAGTTACACTCTCCGTCGTGTTTTCAAGCCCGGGGTCGGAGGGTGGTCGACTTTCACACTGGACACTGCAAGCAGGAAAACATTAGCCATGAAAATTTAACGTTAAGTACCGCACAACGAACGTGGCAACACAAAGGTCAGACGCAAGCATATGCTGTAGCGCATAACCAGTAGAAGATACTCACTGCAGCACAATTAAGGATTAGGAAAGCTATTTCCGGTTACGTCATCTCTCCGGGTTCATCCAGCGGTTTCAGTTTCTTGACTCCTCTCTCCAGTTCTGTTGCAATTTCATTCACAGTACTTGTTTGCTATCCCGATTGGTCTTATTTAGCTTGAGGAGTTTATCACCCATTTAGGTGCACTTTCAAGCAGACCGCTCTAGATTAATGTAAGCTTGCTCCACTGTCCCGCCAGGTTCTCGCATTGGCATTTTGGCCCTATCAAAGGACTTTGGAATGTAGCAAACTGAAATTTTCTAATACGCTACATTTTTAACAGCTGTACTGTAGATTTAGGCGCTGGGCTTTCCACGTTCATCGCCATACTAGGGAATCTTCGTTAGTTTTTTTCCTCCTAGATGATATGCTTAGTTCAGCGGGTAAGTACCTGAGTTCAGGGTATGCAATATTTAATATAACGGAATACCATCCTACCAGTGGTCGATATTGAATTTTCTATATTCATGAGTTACATTATTGTGGTATATATCGTATCATTCGGTTAACGTTAACATGTTAACGGCATGTTACATGCATTTCAATTTGTATGAATGGGTTTCCATAATTAGTTAATATACATTCGCAAAACAGTGTTCTATTCACTGTAGTAGTTTCATTAACAATGAACAGACGTGTCGAGGGAAAAACCACGGCGTTATGCGTTCAATTTTACACTCCTTAAGTCTGCCAATTCGTGGTCTAAATACGAGCTAGCTGCGTCTTTTCATCCCCCGATACTGCGGATCGACGATCATGCTGAGGTTAGTCATTGTGACAATTTGTGTACATTTTCTGCAACTCATTAAGATAAAGTTGTGATTTTATATATGGCGTCTAGCGAGATTTAGGTTTCCTGCAGCAGGTCGTACATACTCACGTATGGCCATAACCACCATTATTAATTTATAGTGGCGTCTAGTGGAGATATTAGAGAGGTTTCTGACCATCCAGGTACCGCACATACTACACGTATGTATAAACACACTATAATGATTAAATCAAAATTGCCATATTGTGTTTTTAATGGCGTCTAGGCGAGGATCTTAAGGCTTTCCTGACAACCAGTACCGTACTACTACAGTATGTACATAACCCATTTATGAAATTTCTATAGTTTGGCGTCTAGCGCGAGATCATTAAGGTGGATGAAGCAGGCTACGTATACTCAGTAATGTACATAAACGACCATTAAAATTTTATGTAGTGGCGTCTAGGGAGTCATTAAGGGTTCCTGCATTCCACGGTGCAATTATTGAGGTAGTGTAGCATAAACCCACTATATGATTAACATAAAGTTGGTTTTATAATGGGCGCTCTAGGGAGATATTAAGGTTTTGACAACACGGTGTCATAATACAGTATGTACATAAACACCATTTTAATTTTGATAGTGCGTCTAGGCAGGATCCTTAAGGTTTTGCATCCAGGTACGCTATCGTATGTACTAACACCCTATAAATGATCAATAAAAGTTGTGTTTTTTAATGGCGTATGAGGCGAAGATCATTAAGGTTTCCTGCAAAGGGAAGTACATCCTACACGTTGTAAATAGCCACCATTGTAATGAATTGAGCGCCGGTATTATAGCATACTCATTTTTTAAGTTCTCGAGCTCACCATAATCACCATTGGAATGGGAATTTGCAATGACATCACAGCGCCACTCTGAACGACTTGAATGTCATACACAGACACTAAATATAGAGCTTTAACGGGGGGGATACTCCCAACATCGTTTCCGACAAAGTCGTGAAATTTGGATGTTGGTTTCTATGATCAAACGGAACCATGTGTTTTGGTTTCGGACGATGCATCCATTCTGCACGGATTCACCTTCAGTATCGTTGTTCGACTTTTACCCGGTGGCAAGCCATTGCGATTGACTGTTTCGCCATCCGCGACCGAAGGCTTCGATCAGCAGTCGCAGTCCTCTCGAGAAGCTCGTCCGGATCAGCGACGGAGCGGTGTGTCAAATGGCAGGGACGGTTTATAGGTTTTGAGCTGAATGACGTCACAGTTACTAGAGTTCTCGTTCAACGGGAAATATTACATGCCTATCCGCTACGGAGAGTTTCAACGGATTTAACTCAATGACGCTTTTCGGAATGGGATAGGCCAGCTGGTTTTGCATTGTAGCGCGCGTGAAGCCCCGGGACATTAAGGAAACAAGACCTGTTATTCGTTCAATCTCGGGAGGCGTAAACACGCTTATACCTTAGATAGTAGATGGACTAAACAGCATATTTTTAGCAGGGCTTAGAGTCTACCGCTCGCTCTCTCCGGAATTAACAGACATCGCGTCCACCAATAAGAACGGCCATGCACCACCACAGAATCGAGAATAGGTTTCATTCTGTAATCTCTTACGTTTCCGGGCGGGTGAGTTTTCCCGTGTGAGTCAATTAAGGCGCAGGTCATCCTAGGTGGTGCTTTCTGTCAATTTTTTTAGTTTGCGCTTTAGAATACTACCAAGGGCGAAGATTTCGTTTCCGGGAAAGCTCCCTCGATAGGGAAATACCCATCGGATCGCTAGGATGGCATAGTTTCGGTCAGATGGGCGTATCTAGATCGCCTTCGAACTAATGATTTACGTCTTATTAAGGAACAGGTGTTGGGCAATGCTTCGCTTTAGGGGGTCCCTGGCGGTCCGAATTTCCCGATCGGCGCGAGGATACGAATTGCCGAATTTACTTCTTACATTATTTCAGTTCTGGACCATAAATAGAACGTTAGTCTTTTTATATATTCAATGATCGACATTTCAGCAAACGTAGTTATGTGAGCCTTATTTATTCAAAGTAAATTCGCTAGCACTAAAGAGCCGGAACCTCAATAGAAAACAGCAAATAGTAAACAGCGGCATTAACGCAAAGGCGAACCACTGCCATGGTAATCAGATCAATACGAGTTTTTTACGCAGCAATGACCGATTTCATGTGTGAGCTGGGAATTCCGGCGGGCGGCTGGCACCAGGCTTTGCCTCACTTGATCTCGAAAAAGGGTTTATGATCAACTCATTGAAATGACGGTTCTCATAGATGGTCTTTTCTTTTTTGATCCATTCTCATCCTTCAGATTTGGATAAAGTCCGCGACATGCTGCCTTCCTTGGATGTGGGTAGCGTTGTTGAAGGCTACCACTCCGGGTCGAACCCATTATTCTTGTCCGTTCCGTAATAACCATGGTAGATAATTAGAGTACATCGTTGATAGCCCCGTGAGCACGTTTTTTCGGGATATCGCGGACAGCGCATATGCTAGCGTTATTCAGTAGTCACAAAATTCTCAAGATGCTTGATATTGCTCTAACGAATTGCACTTCAAAAGTCAGGGTTTATCGCATGTTACTTTAGTCCAGATGACGCAGTTATTTCAATAGGATTTTCCGAATAAATGAATCTGTCTAGATGACGTTGCAGTTTCTCTTTATAGATGAACTCGACATGTGGATTAATTTGGAAACTGAGATATAGCCGCTGACGAATCATAAAGCGTAAAATGTGACATTTGTGAACATCTCATACATTGGTATTTCGAGAGGTCAGCTTGCTACGGTCTAGGACAAACCCAATTCGCAATTGAGATATTCACAATTGTTTGCATTTCGCAAGCACAACATTTCAATATTGGAAATACTATTGAACATACGTACGGTTTTCATTCGTGAAAACTTTTGGGAACACGAATATTCTCGTTCGAAACGAAATGTTTATCCAACCTCACAATAACCAGCGCGACCATAGCAAGGTACGGGCTGCGCTAGATTCATCTTATAACTGTCTTATTATATTTTTATACATATTTGGACTAATCATTAATAATATATATCTTAGGTATAATCATGATATTGAAAATTACTCATCATCCATGATTAACTTAAAATGGCCAACATTCTTCAACTACAAATATTATGCTTTGAAATATGATATTCACAATCTTCCTATCTCAAACTGTTGCACTCAATATACACATCAACATAGAGAATCTCATTGGTTGACTTCAGTAATCCCATCACTTGGTTTTCAAATCTTCTATCTCCAAAAATGTTGAACTCACTATAACAATCCCATTAGAGAATCATATGGCTGAGCATTTGATAATCACCATCCTATGGTTGCGTTCACAATTTCCTATCTCAAACATGTTGAATCATCAAATATAACAACAACCATTAGAGAATCAGTATGGTTGGACATTGCCGTAATCACCATCATAGTGGTCGGACACTTAGAAAAATTTCTAGTCCAGAGTTAGGAAACTTAAAATAACGTCAACATTATGACAAACAACACCGATCAAAGGATAGTCTCAGACAGATCCGTTATACAACACTGCTCTACATGATAAAACCTTGACCAGTATAAGTCGTATGTTATTTTGCGCCCGACAATGAACGTGTGTGGGGGAGCTTTGACAACCAGCGAGGGATTATCCATACCCGGCAAGGTCATTCTATTGGGCTATGCTGTCAGTTACCGGTAGAGTTTTGCCCTTCCGACACCGGGAAACAACTAATATCGCGGCCGCCTTGACTAGGGTGGGTTCTGGACTTAGGCGCGTTCTTATAATCCCAGATTTAGCTGTCGGACCATTGCGAGTCGGTCAGTCCTGATCCAATGTCTGAACGGCTGTTCTCTCCGTACTAAGCAGAGTTTACTATTCGCAACAAGTTGGTACAGTAGGGTAAATACCTGCTCCCGACGTGTTTCTACCCAGTACGTTCATATTAGTTGGGTGCAAAATCCAACGCTTTATGGCGATTCTGGCTTCCGTCAATGATAGGATAGAGCAATCGAAGGATCAAAAAGAAAGTACGCTATGAGCTATGGCACCTGACAAGCCAGATTCCTGTAGGGTACTTTTCTGACACTCTTCCGAAAACATCTGATTAAAGGATCGATGACGGCCCCGCTTCGCGGTCTGTACTCGTACTTGAAAGTCAAGATCAAGCGAGCTTTCCCTTTTGATATAGAGGAGTTTCCGTCTCTCTTGAGACTAGCTTAGGGAACTGCGTTATCAGTTTGACAGATGTACCGCCCCAGTCAAACTCGCCGTGACACTGTTCTTCGACGAGAGTCGAATGCACAGGTGGCTTGCTTAAGACAAAAAAAGAGCGCGGAGCTCATTCTCTTCTCACCGAATAAGTAAAGAATCGGAAAGTGGTGGTATTTCATGGCGACGAAGTCTCCCACCTATGCTACACTCTCATGACTCTTCACAATGTCAACTAGAGTCAAGTCAACAGGTCTTCTTTCCCGCGTATTTTTACCAGCCCGTTCCTTGGCTGTGGCTTCGCTACATAGTCGCTTAGGGACAGTGGGAACTCGGTTACCATTCATGGGCGTCCAGGTGTTGTGTTACCATCCAGCACGACAAACTGATTACCCTCCACAACCACAACCCACTGAGCCGTTCCCTGCCACCTCACGACTTTGTGGAGATGCGGGATTCTCCATGGTCGCAATTAACCACGGATCCGACTCGATATTTGTTCGTACCTGAGCACACGAATGAAAGCAACTGTTCACATGGGCTGGATCTTGGTAAGCCTCAACTGTGAGCCAGTTTGCTTCTCACCACCCGTCTCCTTTGGACAGGTGGCTTTTTATGATCCTGTGAGTACCAAGCACAGCGCATCTTTGCATTCGTTCAATGATTGCTTCAGTTTTGTCTGGTAAATTAAGCAATCGTACGTACCGTCGTAGATTGGCTGAGCATTCGCCACAAGTTCCTACTACGATTGGTACAACTTCTACGCTCATTCCATGCTGCGCTTGCAGATCCGCCTTCAAGTTGGATCCGGGGTGATAGTCGTCTATGCTCGTGTTTTGCGGCAGGCAACTGTTCACCCCGTACTTACAGATCTTTTTCTTTTCTTGCTCGGTAATCCTAGTGTACCAAGCAACCGCTATATCGATTATCCATATAGTCTTCGCTTTGTTGTCCCTAACCACAATATCAGGTCTATCATGTTTGATATACTCTGTTGTGAGTATACGGTCGTTCCAGTGTAGTACTACGTCGTTCCCTTCAACAACATGAGGAACGTGTGTGTTCGTTACTACTGAGTTGAGACCGTATTTCTTCTTTAGGGACTTGTAGATTACTCTGGCCACTTCGTCATGTCTATTGACCATGAGCCCAGTGCGCCAGTAGTCACAAGCCGAGACTATATGTTCAGCAGTCTCTTTAGCCGGGCAACGCAGTCTACATAGTTGATTGCTATTTGGCCAAATTGTTTGACCTGATGCACTACCTTTTGTTGGTAGTGATCCTTCCTGCGCCGCCCAGACATTTCGCAGTACTTCCGAGGAAACCCATCCTGTCTTTGACCACAAGAAAGAATCCTTGAGGCAGATACAGTCAGGATTTCCTGAGGTGTTGCCAGCAATCACTCTACTCGCAACTTCCCTTTGTTTCCATTCATGTAGGCGTGTTCTAGCCCAACGTCCATGGACGAGGGTCGAAATCGCACGAGCAGCTTTAGTGGCTGTCGTGTATGGTGTCCCTCTTACATGAATGGTCGCTTCAGGGTCACGAGTGACTTCATTTTCCAACCTATTCTCCGCCAAGACAGAGTAAAAGTCGGACGAGAGCGATCGCTTGTTACTGCGTCTGAGACTCTCACAAAGTAGATAGGGGATTTGGAGCTCTGGTCTGGAGGCCACGTAGCACCAGTTGTAGACAACTGTGTGCTCTAGTTCTTCTTCGGCCGACTTGAGTCCAAGCCCACCATCTTCTTTGTTTGCGTATAATCTAGCGGTGCAACTGTGGCCATATCTCATTTTACAGTCAGCCAACAGTTTGCGTATTGTCTCATCGAATGTTCTAGCGCGCTTTCTCATTGTCTGGAACTTTCCTGTTCCATAGACTACACATGAGAAGGCGTATTTGAGTTTCGGAATCACCACTTGATTATATCCGTTCACCTTTTGGCGAACTGTGAGGTTGCTTTGCATAATCCTCACTGCAGTGGCTTCCGACTTCGCAACAACTCTAGTCCATAATTCATCTATGTTGATTAGGGCATTCTGTTCAGCTCCTAAATATTTATATAGTGAACTAGAGCCGAGGACTGGAATGTTTTCCATTTCCTCTGTTGCGGTAAGCTGCTGGGGAACGTTGAGCGAATTTACCGCGCATTTAGTGGGATTCATTTGTAGTCCCAGTTCCCCGGCAACTTTTTCTATCCCTTGTTTTGCTTTGGCGATATCATCCCATCTGGATGTGTAGACCTTTAGGTCATCCATATAGAATTGGTGGTTGATCTCTAAAGGTTCACTGTTAGGCGACAGCGCTCCCGTGGCTGTTCGATACGGGCTGACGGAATTCCGCAGCTTCGCCGAGATGGGGGCTATTGCCATGCAAAAAAGGAGTGGGCTAAGGGTGTCCCCTTGCATTACTCCTCTTTTGACATCCAGAGGTTTGCTCCTGACCATACGTCCATTCTGGTATCCGCAATATCTTACACTCTGCCTTGACATGATCACGGATAGCAGTCTCCTAGTCGGGGACGGCACACCAGATCTCGCCAGTATCCATTTAATCGCTCCATGTGATACCGAATCGAACGCTTTGGTCATATCGACCCAAAGCATATGCAGCGGTTTATTGCGTCTTATAGCATCTTTACAGATCGTTTGATCCAGCGTATGCGCATGAATACATCCCCAGATTCCCTTTCGTAAGGCCACCTGCTCCTGCGGAAGCACGGAGCTGGCAGTTCTGAGGATTTGTTGAGCAATCATTGCTGTTAGGACTTTATAGCATGTATTCAAGCACGCTATCGGGCGGAAGTCTCCTGGGCCTCTGGCTTGGGAGCTTCCTTTCGGGATCAGAACGACCTTCCCGCGGCATAGCCATTTAGGGATATTTTGATGAGGTCTCTGCAGTGCTTGTTTACACCACATTTTTAGCCTCTCCTTGGCCTCCGGCAATTTCTTCCACCAGAAACCTTGGATGCCATCTGGGCCGGTAGCTTTCCATGGTTTGATTTTTGCGAATATGTTCGCCCAAACCTCTTCAGGAAGCTCCATGCCTAGATTGTTTGACTCCTCTCCTAGTCCTTGGGCCCACGCTTTTAGGTCATCAGAAGGTTGGAATTGCTGCGGTTCACCAATGATAGATTTCCAGTGCTCGCGCACTTCCGCAACAGGGACGTTGACCTCCTGTTCGCGTGGTTCCCTAGCGACAGCAGGGTAACCCCGCCGTCGCTCTCGGATCCTTTTCAAGGAGTCTTGAATTGCTTTGATTGCGGAGTTAACAATTCCTAGCTCATCCTTGTATCTTACAAGGAGTCGCTGGATTTCAGTTGAGGTGCTAACTCTCTGCAATCGAGAAAGTTCCAGAAATCGCTTCTTAGGAGCTCCCTGGTTTCTTTCTCTTCTTTTAAGCTCATGAGATAGCAAGGAGATTGCCTTTATAAGATAATCTCTCATTGCTTTCTGATCCCTGAGCTTTTGATGGGTTTTACCAGATTTCTCTGATTCACCCTCAAGTACTACAGTTGCTATTGTTTTACCAATAGCGTACACTGCAGCATTTAAGGATGTCAGCGTTTTCTTCCGTGTAGAGTTCCTGCAGCTAAGTTGTTCGCGAATGATGTCATTCCCGAGCCGCAGGATCTCCTCAGGGATCTCTCCATTTGGTCTTCTTATCGGCTGCCTGTCATGCGATTCCAGAGCTACACGATAGTAGCGGTTGAATCGCTCTCTCATTAGATCTCGTAGGTTCCTATTAGCTTCGCTTGTTTCCAGCGCGCTATCAGGACCAGATGTTTCGCGATCTAATCCTTCAACAGAGCCGATATCGTTCATTTGCTGATCATCCTCATTGGCATCCGTAGTCTCATGCACCTCCTGTTCATCGTGCTGAGCATTTTCATAGGGGCGAGCTTGTCTTTGGGCACGCTCCAGTGCTCTAGCAATTTTCCCGTAAGCACTCTTCAGAGCAGCAAGGCTTCTGACTGGCTCGTTTCCACTCAGCGAGTTGTCCCAGGAGTTCCTCAAGGAGTCCCAGTTTATGCGACCGCTCGCTTCACGATGTTCTTCAACCAAGTTAGAAAGCTTTGCAAGCTCAGTGCTTGTCCATAGGAGGGCTTTACTACGTTGCCTTCGCATGTCAGCATCTTCGGCATGCGACCCTGGCGGGCTGCTCTCTCTGTGACGAGTTGAACGTGACCTTGGGTTGCTCTCTGTTGTAGAGCTCCCTTCGGTAGATGTACTTTCCTCGGCACTGCCAATGTTGGAGAGAGCATCCTCTGCCACTGGTGCGCTATTATGCCGATTTTGTGCTGCATGCTCTAAACTCTCTGCACTTGAGTCATCCTCTCTGGGCTGAGCTCCGAAGGCCACGGGCCCGTCGTTCACGACAGGGCATTCTTCAGGACCGGATGTTAATGGATGTTGTTCGCACAGGTCTTGGGAAGACTCTGTTGTTATGCGATTATTTGAGAGCTCGATGTGTTCCAACGCCTGGACAGTAGTGTCTTCTCGCTGTGATGCGGAGTCCACGTCATTCAGCTCCTCTCTAGGGAGCGGACTAGATGGTCTTATCACAGGTGAACATTCTACTGTCACCTCCGGCATTTCGACACGTCGCTCAAATGCCTGTGTAGTGACACCTTCGCGTTGTGCATCGGAGTCCGCACCTCTAAGTTCTAAATCGGGGAGCGGGCCAGATTGTCTTAGCACAGCTGAGGTATAAGCTACATTTTGCGGCATTTGTCTGCGTTGCCGAGCTGCTCTCGCATAAGTGCATTTGAGAGCTTCTTTACTCCTGGGGGGGTCTTCAGGACGGCGGAGACTTTCCCAAGCGGAAGTCAGGTCATCCCATTGTACTCGTCCGCCCCCAAGGATTTTATAGTGGTGAACCATGGATACCAGTCTCTCTATTTCATTCGAGCTCCAATATCTCTTTCTTTGTTCATCCAGCAGGCTGGAGGAGACATTGGAGAGGTTTTCTATGGACGACACCGGTCTTCTTTCGCTGGGGCCCACTTCCTCATTGGGGCAAGGACTTCCCAGGTTAATATTCGTGGTATCATCGTTAGAAGAACTAGTATCAGGCACTGTCAGGTTCAGCTCTCGACCGATGGTCGCCTCGCCATCGTGGTCGCTGGGCGTTTCCCTGACTGTCAGTTCACCTTTAACTATTTTATTATAAATAGTTTTTAATGCTGCAGCCGTACGTTGCGGCTCATCACGTCCACGGTTGGCCGCCCAAGAGTTTGCCAGGGCAGCCCAGTGGACGCGTCCGTTGGCCATCCTGTGTCCTTGGACCAGTCTAACCAAACGGAGTTTCTCGCATTCGCTCCAGGGTGACGGTCTTCGCCGTGGGCTTTGAGCGCTAGGCTCGTTTCGCCCCGTGTCATTCCCGGAATCCGCGTTATGGGCTTGCCTATGGGAGGGCAAGGGCTCCTGAACTAGCCTGGTTACCCCCCTACGCCGTTCTCGCGTAGGGGACCCTCGCATATTTGTCACGCCCGCCGGGCCATGCGGACGCGCGTCGGCTACCACGGACGCTGTAGCATTTACTTGATTCTTTGTTGTACTTTGAGTAGCAATGAGGTTTTTTACGGATGGAGGCTGCCAACCTCTACATCCAACCCTCCTCTTTTCACATCCGGGCTTGGGACCGGCATAGGCAGAGTTTCTAAGGTTATTTCGTCGGTCGCTCACCGGTGTTATTGGTGAAGCGATGGTTTAGCTGCAGTTGGCTAACCATACGACCTTGAATATAACCGCTCCCTAGGTATTCTTGAACGTGGGAGTCTTTTTGAGCAGCTGCTAGGTTTCCACCGTGGTACATTTACCCAGATTGGACGTAGACCTCCGTGAGACTCATCAAGAGTTCATGAAGTACACCCAGTGCCTCGGGTGCCTCGTTAACTACGCTGTACTAGATGTTCACCCAGCACTCCTGTTACGCAACTGTGACTAGTTCTCGTCGAACCAGCCAACGAGAACGATCCCCTGTCATGCCCCTGGGGTATCGCGTGTAAAAAACGCTTTACCGAGACACATGGCGACCTGTCACTTGTGCGAGGTCGGAGCTGCTTTCTTAAATTGCAGCACTGCATCATCTCGCGCAGTGATGTCTGACTTGTTAAATCTAGAACATTCGATGGGTATTGTTTTATTTAAACACCGTTCAGGTAGAAGTTTCCTAAAAAGGAAAAACTATTCTTTTTGAAAAATATAGGCCTTGCTATGTAGACTATTGTCCATAGCAAGGCCATTCACCGGTGGTACGGTTATTAGAGCATTGCAACAAATGAGTGTCAAATCAACATTTATTGAAAACTTATTTTCAAAATATCAACTAACACTTCAATTATTGCTTGTTGAAGCACCTGCTTCAACAACCTTCTTAGGTTTCCTCTTCTTTCCACCGGGTTTCTCCCGAACAACCCTTTTCAGTTCTCTGCGTAGTTTCTCGTTCTCTTTCATGAGCAGCCGTAGCTGCTCCTCAGCACTCGGGGGACTGCTCGCTCTAATTGCATCCTCCAGTTTCTCCTTTAAGAACGTAACTCCAGAGTCACTGAAAAGATAGTTATATATATTGATTTTACCTATGGAATTACAGTAGGACACTTACCCGAATCTAGCTATTTTGCTAAATTCTACGTAGGGTATAGTTACTACGGTTTTTCCACTCTTAGAACTCTTCGCGTTCATCTGAAATGTAGTCTAATTATTGTTGTAGCTTCAAGGATTGCACAAAATTCGCGAGAATCATATGCAGAATCCGAGCCAACATAATCAAACCAAAATTCAGAAGGAGAATTTAGAAAAGCGAAGAGAAGTTGGTTGGGATCCCTAGTAGCCACCGCATGCTCTTAGGAGCGGTTTGGGCTCTCAACCAATAGTCATTCAGAAAGACGAAGAGTCAGGTTGGGATCCCTAGTAGCCACCGCATGCTCTTAGGAGCGGTTTGGGCTCTCAACCAATAGTCATTCAGAAGGACGAAGAGAGACTGACTGAGATCCCTAGTAGCCACCGCATGCTCTTAGGAGCGGTTTGGGCTCTCAACCAATAGTCAAATGCAACACTGAATCATTCGCACAGTGCTGTCTGTTACCTCGCCTTCAAATCCGCACTCTTCCGTAACACTCAGCCTAGCCCTCGTTGGGACTTTTATTACATGCCAACGAGTTGAGTTCACAGAAAGAGAGTTTAGGTATTTGAAGGGTAGGTTTAGTTGAGATCCAGGATGGCCACCACTCCTTCAGAAGGTGTGGTTGCGGCTCTCAACAGGTCTGCAAACTTTAAACATTAATGCCAGCATATTAATAGAGTGCCCCTTAGCGGGGTCATCAAGGCTGCCTGAAAACCAGGTTCCGGGAGTGAAGTTCTGTGCAGAACCTCCTCGCATTCCCATAGCCACTGCTATAACTGCTGGAGTCAAGAGTCCTTGCACGGACCCTTGCTGTGGGATTCTGTTCCGCTTTCCAGGTCCATTTTTCAGTCCTCCCCGGACACGGCACCTCCTCCCCAGGTGAAAGACGACGAATACCAGCCAACGCTTTCGCCACTTTGTTTCTGGCTTTGATCACTCTCCTTCGAGAGTGGACCTCAGCCTTCCACAACGAG